ACAGGCCCATCGGGGTGGTGAATGCTGTTTTTGGCCGATCCTCCTCCGTCATCTCCACCTGCCAGTAACCGGACGCCAGATCGAGGGTGGAAAAATACCGCGCTCCTGCGAGACTGTCGAAGGTGTCGTCGATGCGGGGTATGGGGAAGGCATCGCCGAGCGTGACTGCATTTAGTTTACGGTAATCGACGCAGAACCGGGTTGACCCATCCTTTTTCGTTACTAGTACCACCGGGGCTGACCAGGGGCTCGCCGAGGGCTGAATTATGTTATCGCGAAGCATGTCCCCAACTGCCTCTTTGATTTGGGCGCGTTCGGGTGCGCCCACTCGGTACGCAGGGAGTTTGATGGGTCGGGCTGCACCGGTGTCAATTTGGTGCTTAACAAGATCGGTCCGACCCACGTCCGAGTCGTGTTCACTGAATACGTCGGCATACTCCCGCAGTAACTCGCGCAGCCGATCGCCCTCTCCCTTAGGTAAATCCGCCCATGGTACATGTAACGCGTTGAGCAGGGGAACGACCTCGGCTCGGGGAGTCGGGCCGACTCGCCAGGCCAGGTCCTGGTCACCCTCAGGACGACCGGGGTCTTCGGCCCAGAGTGCGAACACCGAGTCGTTAGAGTGGCGTGCGTGCAGGGGGTGTACGGTGGCTACCGGGGTGCGCCGTCGCAGTGTCGCTGGGGTATTGTGGGGGTTAAACATCCGCATAAACAATCGGTCCCCATCTGCGTTTACCAACGTGGCGGATCCCACTATCCCATACCGTTTTGCCAACTCCGGGTGAGGAGTTAGCATTACCTCCCCTGATGGTCGGAGCGCGGGGTCGGTGGGGGATGTTGCCACCGGCACCAGCATCTCGGTGAGCGGGCCGATGGTGACTGCCGTCGCCAGGATAGCGGCCACAGGTGCAAAGCGGCGGCGCGTTGGTTCTCGTCCCAGGAACGGTATCCGCTCGCCGTTGCTCTCCATGGTGGCGCATCGCTGGCGGGGTTGCACGTTGAGTCCCAACCGTTCTAGGAGGTCGGTGCCTGCGATACACTCGTGACACAACGCACTCGACACGTAGAACTCCTGCGTGCACACCTGGCTGCCTATGCGGACCTCTAGGGTGGCTCTCCCCAGCAGCCCCATTCCGGCTCCGCTCGCCGTGTGCAGCGCGCGGTCCGGTGCCTGCAGGTGACGCACGTCGACCCCGATCGCGCTGCAGTGCGCTGCGCTCACGAGCGAGGCCACCGCCCCCGTGTCCAGCAGGATTCGGGTACGCACTCCGTTTACCTCCCCTTCCACCAGCGACGTGGCCCCCGTGATCCCCGCCACCAGCTCCCGCAGCCAGTCGCCAGGAGTCACCGTTCCTGTGGGCGTTGTTGCTGGAACCTGTGTGGAGATCACTCGCTCGCCATTATTCTCACAGCTTGTTTGTGTCGGGGCTACGTCGATTTCACCCCCCGGTGGTCCCCTCTCTAGGGGGGCCTTAGTGTTTGACCTTAGCTCTTGTCTAGCTCGGGCGACCTGAGGACAGTCCCTCACTAGATGCCCTCGGCGATCGCACATGTAACATGCCCGGGGAGGGGTGGCGGCTCCGTAGTGGGCTCTCTGCCCACTCCCTCCTCCCCCAGTGCGCTGCTGCTCATACTCTGCTTCTAGTCGCGCTATCCTTCCAGTTAGCCCTCCTACCGTGGAGTCTAGTTCCCCCATCTCGGATCGGATGGTCTCAACGGAGGATTGCAGTTGGGTCATATTTTTATTCGTTTCCTCGCGTACCTGGGTTACCCTCTCACCTACGTGAGTTACCTTGTTGTCTATCTGGGTTACCTGGCCGGAGACATCCTTTATACCCGTTTGTATACCGGCAACCCATCCCGGGGTTGTCTCGCGGGACACTGGAGGCTCTCTTTCCCGGCCCCTTACCGTCCTCGCGAGCTCCTGTTCCTCCTCCTCGTCTTCCGAGAGCAGGCTCGCAATGGCGCGCTCTCGTCCCAGCCCCCGGAGCTGCGCGCGTTCGCTGTGAATTCTTTCACACTTACGTGCGCGCTCGACAAGGGCGTTAAAGGGAAGACGTGGGCAGCTCATGTCTGGCTGCCACCACGCCGTGCGAGACAGGTACCGCTGGATTTTCTCGGCGGCCAGTTCCTCAATAACATCAGTTGCGTACCCCGGGCGTGCGATCTTTGTTAACTCGCGCACATCCTCGGCGTAATCACGTAGATCTTCGCCAGGTTGGCGCCGGCGCGCCTCTAAGGCCGATTTTGCTTCCTCCTCGTCACGCGTGCCAAACCGCTGATCGAGTCGGCGCATCAGCTCCTCTAGCTGTGTCTGTGCGCTCGCGGGTAACGCTTCTACAAAATCGGCTGCCCGCCCATCAAGATTCATATTAAGTTGACGTACTGCCTGCGCGTCCGTCCATCCATTAATTTCCTTGGCCCCTAAGAGATTGCGGGCGAATGCCTTCCACGAAGGGGCCCCCCGGCCGGTAAATATTAGTCTTATTTTAGCGTGAGGTAACGCGGGGGTCCGTACCGCTTCCGACACCAATTTGTGGGGGCCGTTGGCCCCCGGGGTCCCTCCCGCCAGCATCCCCTATTCCGTTTAAGTTACCCCACCTCCCTATTACTCGCTACGGTTTTGCCGGCATTCGAATGCGACGCCACCACGGTTACAGCCTCGCGCCGCGCTCCCACGCTGCGAGCATACGTGCGCACATCATCGTCAATCAAACGCCGTGCTCGCAGTATAGCCCTGTGCGGCACGTTACCAATGCGCATCCGTGTCCGACATGTAACGAACGTATGCACACACACACACGCCGCTCCGTGCACTCCAACTCCACACCAACTACGCAAGTTATGATCGCGCACCTGTATCACACACGGAGTGAACACACGCGACACCCACTCTTGCGCCGCTCTGCGCAGCGCTCGCCGTCTGCTGGCCGCTTGCGTTATGATCGCGCACCTGGGGTACGCCTATTACGCACGCCGCGAGCTTACGCACACACAGTACCACACGCGTTCCCACACGCAACCCGCGCGCTCAGCTCCGCGCAGCGCTCACTCACGTGGCGAACCACTGTGCACACAGCGCACCCACACGCTCACACTGCACGACAAGATCACGCGAGACCACGCTTCGCTATTAATGATTTATTATATGCCACCTGCGAATTGATGTTGAATCAGTGAGTCGACGAGGCTGGCCTATTCCACTAAACCTGTACCTATTCCCTATTTATCGGCTATGATTCTAATTCCCCTTCTTACTCACTGTTAAGTGTCCACGGCGGTCCGCTGATCCTTGTGTTAACCGCGTGCCTCGGTGCGTCGCACGGACGTCCGGGTCGGTGGCCCGAGCTGCGTCTGGTCGCCTGGCGCTGAAGTAAGAGAGCGATTTCCCCTCTGCGCTCCTCTATTTATCCTCCCTACCTCCCAAAGGGGATGCTGCGCTGAACAATGGGCTCGTGCACCCCAAGCCCGCGCACGGCAGTCCCCAGGCGCTGTTGATATGCTAATCAGTGTGCTGCGTGCAAGGCGTAGATCCTAATTACTCCCTTACCCTTCCTACCAATGGGGCTTGCGCGCTCAAGCGCAATTATCCCAACCCTCCATGACTATGCGCAACAGCCCCTGTGACCCCGCTATTCATGCTGTCCCGTGCCTCCCCTGCTTGCCCCGTCGACTCGTGGGGGTGTGTGTGGGGGGAAATGCGCCTCAACCGCGGTGGCCGAATGCCCCACGCCGCGACCACACCATATTAAGGCCGGCAGCAGCGCCGCGGTACCACGTAGCACGGGGGAGGTCATCCAATTCCCTGATCGCCGGAAACCGTGAGAATTAATCCCGATAAGGGTCTCTCGGATAAAAACCGGTCGATCAGGTAACCTTCCCTTCCAGCTCTATGGGGGGGGGGGGGGGGGGGGGGATGCGTGCGGGTGTGTGCTTATGTGGGGCGGGTGATTGGGGGCAGTGCGGTGGGGGAAGCCGGGCGGCTCCCTGGCTCGGCAGAGCGGCCCCGTCGCTGTGGCACCACACAGTCACCAAAGCTTTAAATCGAAACATTTCCTAGGTGTTGAGCCATACTTCATCACGCTGGTGAGTGCCTGGTGGTAGCAGGATCGGTTCAGATATCACGAGCCAGTGATGCTCCCCATAGCTGGCAATTAAATTGAGAATGTTGGCTTCATCGACTCTGTCATGGAGCTCTTGTGGTATTGCAGCCACACACTGTTGGTCATTGTATATTTACGTGCGGAATGAATGCATTCAATATAGCGGTTGTAATCGAGCTATTTAGTCCATGGGCCAGAGCAGTAATTGATACAACGTAAGGTAGCATGTTTAGTCGCACCTTCGGATAAATACGCCTAATGAGTGTGTTACTTGATAACCGACACCTGCGATTAGCACACTAGGCTACATACGGTGCGAAAGAAAGTCAACATGCATACACCACCACTCATTTCAAATGTTTATCAAATAATTCACTGTTTTTGCCCTCACATTTGGAATTTGCAACCACTGAAGTGATGACATCTCGTGGATTAAGTGGGTATCTGAACTGCATGGCAAAACAGTAATCAAAATTCACTAGTTTATTATTCACAGAAATAATGCAGTAGTCATTTAATCGGTTCACGTTGCATTTCATCGGTTCATGTTGCTGTATGGATGTCCCTTGGCTATTAGATCATGGCCTTACGAACTACATACAGAATCATACCCAAGAATAAGAAATTGATTCAAACTTTTTATTTTTTAAAGTACGTATTCTTGTATTCACAAAATTATAAAATGTACACATTTACAATGATAATAATCTTCTTTGTGGATGTGGTGCTGGCGCTGCTGGGCTGTGTTGTGTCAGCGGTATTCATCAGGACCCGGTGTGCATCGCCCTTGCAGCGGTGGCAGCGGTGGTGGCAGGGGCAGCAACTTGACCACGTCCCTCGTGTGATATCATCCATCAGTGATCACGGTTGATCTCCGGGGTCAGGGTCGTCGCTGCTGCCTCTTTTAATGCCATTTCCCATGGCCGCCGTTGATTTGACTGCACACGGGTATGGCCTTCATCTCTGGGGACCTGCGCACAGCACATGGAACGACCGCTACGTGAGTTTCATTGGCCCAAAGGGCAACCTGGTGAACTTCCCGTGAGTTCAACATAGATCGAGCCTTAACAGCGAAGGTGGAAGGAAACCTGACCAACTTAGGTAAAAATGAAAATGATAACGGCGTGGCTCTGAAATTTCTTGCTCATGCCACTGCTGGCAGTAAGTCCTCGAGTAGACAAACTCTGGATGATATTTGGTCTACTCTTCCACATTGACCACACTTGTGGGCATACCCACAAATACAACTCGTGGGTAACTCACCGGACGTAGAAGAGGATGTATGCCTGTTTCTCCATGACCACCCTGGTGTCGACCGGCGTCACCAAGTCGTCGTCCATCCGGAACCATCTCCCATCGCAGATCTGTATGCAAACAACATCGAAGATTAATTACGACGATCATCCAATTGCACCTGAACTATGTATATATTCGTAATATGACACATGAGGAACAGAGGTGACCCTCTTATTCCACCTATTATTGTGTTGTCCTATAAGTTGAGTAATCGAACCGATAATCCATCAAATAATTGGTTACATTTGAAAGTTAAAATCCTGGTTGGGACCTCACTTGGTCCATCATCTATCCAGGGGCAATAAAGTAATTACACATATTTGGTGAAGTTAACAGTGGTTCTATGCATACGCTTTCCCTCAGTCACAGGAATGGGGAATTTTCACCACTGGCTCAGGACTATAAATGGAAGATGAGCACCACCTCATGGCTCAAAGGAGCAGGAATGGTTTAGATTTGTTTCACTGAATCGAATTATTTAAAGGATCGATGCATACGGATGTTTGGCATGTGTTTGTGTGATAATGTAATACATCACCTTGTTGTAACAGTAGTAATGTCCCTCTGTGCTGGATTTCCCAGAGTGCACAAGGACCGAGTATAACCTGTACACTACAGGGTCTGCGTCCTCCTGCTGTGACATGAATGGCCGCACGTCCAGGTGCTGTGGGTACGGGCAATCCTGCAGTGGTGAAGGAGGAAGCAGTGATGCAGAAAGAGAGATGGTGTTAGGTGGGAAAGAGGAGAAGAATGATGCAGGGTCGAGTTCTTTATTATAATTTTTGTGCTACTATATTTTTTACTTTACCAGGTAATGCTTGCCGACTGAGCTATATTGCTCTTTCTCCGAATCGATCTAGCCACAAATGATAGCTCAACGAAGTGGCTTATCACGTGAATAGTTATAGCAGCCAAATACTCTAGAAGTAACTGGTGGACCCGGAGAAAAACCCACGTGAACACGGGGAGAACATGCAAACTCCAAATATAAAGGCATTAGGATCGGGATCGAACCCACGACCTCCTATACACTAGTGGAGGTAGTTAAGATTTCGCTACCATAGAGCCCATTTTAGGTAGATTAACCAAGTGGGAGCTCGAGAGACCATTAAAAAATAAAAACATGTGCACGAGTGATCTAGGTTACTACCGTGGCAAAAAAAAATAACGCGAGAGAAATCACAGAAATTACCCAAAAAGGAAGTAGCACAAAAACAAGCAATGATAATTGGAGAAAATGCGGCCACGTTTTAGAAGAAATGTAAAACAAACATATTAACCAAACATTACCCGATTGATCTTGTTTCCAAACAGGTCATATCTCTTGATGGAGAGGGCCAAGACGTTCGGGAGATGGTGAAGGCTCATCCTCTTCGTGGCCTTCACCTTGCAACAGCACCTGGGCACCAAAAAGCAGCAGCGTCAGTTTAAGGACCGAGATGCCCAGTGCAAAACTGTACAAATATGTTGGCGTTAGAAAGTAGACAGACTCGCGTGACATTGATGTCGTGCCATACTCACCTTTGGCAAGTGTATTCATCCAGTGTCTCTGTCTTGGTGAAATCTGCAAAAGCTGCCAGCAGATCTGGCGAATTCTGTCAAATAGAACGACGTGAAGGCAAATGAGTGCTTGAAAAGAACACTGGGAACAACTTTTGCAGCTGTTAGAACAGTGAGTCCTTATGTTGTACTGGCCGTGGTGTGACATGAGAGGGCAGTGTCCTTAGGTGACAGGAATTAAGGACGTGCTCCCAATTTTCAGATTCATCCGATGTACAGTATTCCAGTCGATCGGCAAACTTAATGTGTTTGAGTGACGCTACTTGTGTAATGTACACGATCCGAAAAAGATCAAAAGTGTTGCTTGAAAACGAGAAAATAATTAAATCCGAAACTCGTCACAAGTAAAGATACCATTTAAGTAAATCAAAAATTCCTCGATTCTTACGTTGATGTGAAGACTGATGTCCAGGCAGTTTTCGAATGTGTCAGAGGTGCAGGAGCACTGTGTGCACTCCACTGTGGAACACAAGTGAACGCACGCGCACACATCCACACGTGCAATTAGAGGAGGTTGGCATCAAATACAATGAAGTTATATGTTCCCTAGTCAAACTCACAATCATTCCCCAGACATCACCCACTCAGATAAAACCACGTGTGATATTGACTCACATTCTAAGTAATTTCCTGCTCATCTGCTCTCTATAAATCTGAGGAAGTGGTAGAATGTCCTCTTTCATATGGCAAGGGGGAGTCTGTTAATAGGACCCCAGATTGATGATGTGGCGAGTCAACCCCCAATCTGGATTTAAGCTTACAATGGCGAGTTGCTGGCTCTCCCACTGAGCCATGTGGTAATTTCAAGTTTTTGCTGTAAAATAATTACGTGCACGCATGCAAGTCGATGTTAAGTTGTAATACTTGTGTTTGTATCTGATCAAATGGGTTGTTGTGTCTGTGTGCTTGTGCATTTTTTTTTATTGGGCGGGGAGTGTAAATATAGCGGTTGGCGCACTGGCGAACTGAGTTCGATCCTCGCTCACGGCCACAACATCTGAACCTCGGCTTCTCCCAGGTCGATTCAGCCTGAAATGAGTGTCTGGTGCATTGTGTAACTTCAGCACTGGTGCTAGCCACCGAAGGTGGCCTGGCATGGTGCAAGCCACACCACCTTATCATGTGCCTTGTTGGCCTACATAGGTACTCGCTAATAGCAATTGCTTTATTATTCTGTTAAGGCTTCAGGGAGATCTTTGTATTTGCGTGTTTTGCTTATGTCATGCTGTGTACGTGCGTAAGAGTGCAGAGTTCATCTGCACTGTGCAGCATGCGTCGTCATACTCGGTGTGATCGCTACTTGCAGCAATGATTTTGCACATGGAGCTGGCACACACCTGTCGATCTCAGCTGCCCTGTGAAGATCTGGTGAATCACCGAGGTCTTCTCCATATGTTCTTCCAGCCTGCACGTGGAAATGAATGACATCACACATTCGGTGGCTTACAGATGCATCATCTTTACCAAGTGCGCACATGGGAGAGTTACTCCTTTTTGTTTCAACCCTACGTCACCTTGCAGTCAAACGCTTATTTAAAGAATATTCTGTAAACTTTGTTGTCAATTTTTGGTAACAGGTTGGGAACCAGTGGCCAAGGACGTGCACTACTTACTTGTCGTGGTTGATTGGGCAGGAGAGGTGCAGAGCTTCTATGATGTAGCAGAAGAACTCATGCACGTCCTCCTGTTTGCCAAACTGCAGGTGTTTGACGATCCCTGTGGGTAAATGGATGGAGGTCAGAAGCGATTTGAACGCAAGGTTACTAAACGTTTTACCAATGCCCCACCCATTGAGAATAGGTTCTAAATTTAATGTGCACAATTGTGTTGTACTGAACGGAGCTCACGTTTGAGGTTTTGGACGATTTCCAAGGGCTTGATGACCTTGCCCTTGGAGCTGAATGTTGCAATGGTGTGCCTCTCCATTATGCACATCATGCAACATCCATTATCTGTACCTGTGAAGTGCGGCAGAGGTGGCATATGCTGTCAGTACAACACCAATCAAAGCTCAGCTGTAGGTGCAGCACACAGCAAGGACATCTTCGCGTAACAATTATTTTCAGCTTGTTGATATTTCAAAGTGTTCTGGGAACTCACATCTTCCTGAGTGGTGCCTGGAGATCAGGTAGTTTGCCAGTGGTGCGGTGTAAGTGAGGCACTGCAGGGTGGCATTGAGGAAACAGGTGTTCCCCATGTTGTCAAGGCCAGCACCCTCGCATGCGTTCCACTGCCACGTCAGGCTCAGGTTTTCCCCCGATTCTGGCGCGAGTCGTGGAGCTCCATTATAGATCTTGTCTGCGCACAAAACATCCAGGAATTTTTGTGTTTACACTCGAGGCACTCTGGAGACTGGCTCGAAAGTTGTGTGGTAAAGCCAGAACTTGTGATATCATTGTATTAGCGGTGCTCTTCATTAACCCTTTCACAACCATGTTTTTTTCAACTCTAGGTGACTCTACAGTGAGCTGTTTTTTGACGTAATTTCTGTTAACGTGGACAGGGTAACAATATTCAATGGGTAGGGGATAAACCTGGTCCTTGTCCAATATTTTCATTTTGCCACTAAATGAATGGTTATCGAAGGACATTGATGGATCCTGGATATCACTTTGATTTTCCTCCGTAAATGTTGTCTCATGGCTTCGTTTCACGTTTACCATCCCGATTATACAACATACATTGTCCAAAAATCTGACATTTTATCTGGAACTCATACCTACTACAGAGTTGCTTATGACATTGCAGTTGCACTACATTGACGTGTTTTTGTCCACTGTTTCTGAATGCAGTCGCAAATGCCCAAACGTCAATTACCCAGCAGTGAAGTTATAGTAGATAAGAGTTAACACCTTTTTGGGATTAAGCAAGGTTATGAGAACTTGGGAGAAGAGACCATTAGAGGGAATTCCAAAGTCAAGCTAGTGTTTAAAGAGTCAGTTTGGTACAAGCTTACCTTCCATGGCAATCTGATCTGGAACAGGAGGAGCAGCTAGCTTCTGGGAGGTGGGCCTGATGATGGCAGACGCTGTCGATGGAATGGCGTCCTTCTGGCTGTGATCCGGCATGCTCCTAAGAGCGGTATGCTGGCTGCCCCTCCTTCGGGCAGCTCGGCCACCCCGGCGTCTTGGTCTCCTCGCTTGACCGGCTGCCTGGCCGAACCCGCAATTTGCGGCCTCGCCTTGCCCGTGACCAGCAGCCTGACCACTTCTGCAACCTGGACTGCCCTGGTGGCTTGTAGCCTGGCAGCCCTTGCATCCAGCAGCCTTGTTGCTAGCTGCACGAATATCTCCGTGGCTTGCCACTCGACTCGCTTTGTCCCCTTCAGCTGGGCCCGGCTCCCGATCTACCACCGGGCTTGGCCCATGATCTGCCACCCGGTTTGCACCGCTGTCCGCTATTGGGTTGGGCCCATGGCTACTCATCTGACTTGCCTCTTGGCTAGCCACCAGGCTCATCTCATTGTTAGCCACGAGGCTAGCCTCAGGGCTAGCCACCAGGCTCGCCTCACAGCTTGTGGCTGGGCTCGTCTTTTGGTCAGCCTCCAGGCTCATGTCACGGCTAGCCACGAAGCTAATCTCACAATTATCTGCTGGGTCAACCTTGTGGCTTGCTTCCAGGCCCATCTCATCGTTATCTGCGCACAAAATATACAGGAAATTTTATGTTAACACACAAGGCACTTTGAGACTGGCTCGAAAGTTACGTGGTAAAGCCAGGACTTGTGATAGCATTGTTTTAGCGGTGCTCTTTATTAACCCTTTCACAACCGTGTATTTTTCAACTCTCGGTGACGCTACAGTGATCTGTTTTTTGACGTAATTTCTGTTAACGTGGTCAGGGTAACATTCAACGGATAGGGCATAAACCTGGTCCTTGTCCAATATTTTCATTTTGCCACTAAATGAACGGTTATCGAAGGGCATTGATGGATCCTGGATATCACGTTGATTTTCCTCTAAAAATGGTGTCTCATGGCTTCGTGTCACTTTTACCATACCGATTATACATAAGTATATAACAACGTACATTGTGCAAAAATCTGACAAGCAAACTTTTCATCTCGAACTCATCTCTACTACAGAGTTGCTTATGACATTGCAGTTGCACTACATTGACGTGTCTTTGTCCACTATTTCTGAACGCAGCCCCAAATGCCCAAACGTTAATTACCCAGCAGTGAAGTTATAGTAGATACGAGTTAACACCTTTTTGAGATTAAGCAAGGTTATGAGAACTTGGGGGAAGAGACCATTAGAATTTCAAAGTCAAGCTAGTGGTTACAGAGTCACTTTGGTACAAGCTTACCTTCCACGGCAATCTTATCTGGCACAGACGGGGCAGCCGGCTTCTGGGAGGTGGGCCTGATGATGTCAGAGGCTGTCACTGGAATGGCGTCCTTCTGTCTGTGATCCGGCATGCTCCCAAGAGCGGTATGCTGGCTGCCCCTCCTTCGGGCAGCTTGGCGACCCCGGCGTCTTGGTCTCCTCACTTGACCGGCTGCCTGGCCGAACCCGCAGTTTGCTGCCTCGCCTTGCCCGTGACCAGCAGCCTGACCACTCCCGCAACCTGGACTGCCCTGGTGGCTTGTAGTCTGGCAGCCCTTGCATTCAGCAGCCTTGTTGCTAGCAGCACGAATATCTTCATGGCTTGCCACTGGACTCGCTTTGTCCCTTTCAGCTTGGCTCGGCTCCCGATCTACCACCAGGCTTGGCCCATGGTCTGCCACCCGGTTTGCACCGCTGTCTGCTATCCGGTTGGGCCCATGGCTTCTCATCTCACTTTCCTCTTGGTTAGTCTCCAGGCTCATCTCATTGCTAGCCTCAGGGCTAGCCACCAGGCTCGCCTCACAGCTTGTGGCTGGGCTCATCTTTTGATCAGGCTCCAGGCTCATGTCACAGCTAGCCACGAAGCTAATCTCACAATTGTCTGCTGGGTCCACCTTGTGGCTTGCTTCCAGGCCCATCTCATGGTTATCTGCACACAAAACATCCAGGAAATGTTCTGTTTACACTCGAGGCACTCTGGAGACTGGCTTGAAAGTTGTATGGTAAAGCCAGAACTTGTGATAGCATAGTTTTAGCGGTGCTCTTTATTAACCCTTTCACAACCATGTTTTTTTCGACTCTAGGTGACCCTACAGTGAGCTGTTTTTGACAATATCTGTTAACGTGGTGAGAGTAGCAATATTCAATGGATAGGGCGTAAACCTGGTCCTTAACCAATATTTGTATTGTGCCACTAAATGAACGGTTATCAAAGGGCATTGATGGATCCTGGATATCACGTTGATTTTCCTCCATAAATGGTGTCTCATGGCTTTGTGTCACTTTTACCATCCCTATTATATGTAAGTATATAACAACGTACATTGTCCAAAAGTCTGACAAACACTTTATCTGCAACTCATCCCTACTACAGGTGTTGCTTATGACATTACAGTTGCACTACATTTACGTGTTTTGTCCACTGTTTCTGAACGCAGTCCCAAATGCTCAAAACGTCAATTACCCAGCAGTGAAGTTTTGGGATTAAGCAAGGTTATGAGAACTTGGGAGAAGAGACCATTAGAGGGAATTCCAAAGTCAAACTAGTGGTTACAGAGTCACTTTGGTACAAGCTTACCTTCAACGGCAATCTCACAATTATCTGCTGGGTCCACCTTGTGGCTTGCTTCCAGGTCCATCTCATGGTTCTCTACCGGGCTTGCCTCATGACTTGCCACCTCTATTCTTTCTTGGCTAGCTACCAGGCTCATCTCACGGTTATCCACTGCGTCCACCTCGTGGCTTGTCTCCAGGCCCATCTCATTGGTAGCCACTGGGCTCGCCTCAAGACTTGCCACCTCGGTCTTCTCATGGCTAGACACTGGGCTCGTCTCATGACTTGCTGCAGAGCTCGGAACACAGCTGCCTGGCTCATAAACCTCATCATCTGAAACACTGCGGAAGCAACAGAAGATGTTCTTGAAACGCTTAATGAAGCCCTTTTTCTTGGCCTTCGGCATTGTGGCGATGTGGTTGCAAAGTATAAAAATGCGTCCAAAAACGTGTCCTCAAGATGATGATGGCTGGATTTTATTTGTTGAAAATTTTGCAACAAAAAACCCAGAGAGCAAGGATAGAACACGTCTGACCCTCACGGTGCCAGATTAGCAACTGAGTTTGTGGGGGGAAGTGACATCACAGTGATGTCACAGTGCACTGGAGTCACATGGTGGCCTATGTAATGGTGACGTCACAGTGATGTCACAGTGCACTGGAGTCACATGGTGGCCTATGTAATGGTGACGTCACAGTGATGTCACAGTGCACTGAGGTCACATGGTGCCCCGTGGGAATTGCCTGTGCAACAAGCACCCTCAATACACTTTATGTATCTGTAACTGAACGAATGATAATGATGAATGGTTTTTAAAAGTAATTTATCTCAACCTAACTTTCGTTGCAGAAAATGTATTTTAGTTTATATTCCATGATTGTGCCCTTTTCCATGCTTTGTCTCACGATATATTCAATCGAGATTGTTGTACGTTATGTTCTTGTATTTGTCGTTTTGGTGACTCAAGTTACTCTTGAAAATGACACCATCCTTGTCTCTAAGCAAAATAAATTAAAACCGTCTTCAAATCATTCTTTGGTTTTTTCGGTAAAGTCACGTATAAAAATAAATTAATAAATTAAATAATAGCATACGACGTTTCGATTGCAACACAAGCAATCATCATCAGGTATAATAAAATAGCGACATAGAATATAACCAGAAAACTATAGACAGACATATAAGCAGACAGATATCACCAAGATACATAGAGAGAGCAACCCAGGTACAGAGAGAGGTGATCGTCTCTGTGGGGTGGCCTTAAATAGACAGAGGGGGCGGAGGCAGAGAGAGGAAGGGGGTAGGGAAAACATTTACATGTCAATGAGTACGAAGGGAGGGGAGTAAGGTAAGCAGGCTTAGAGGGAGACAGAACACACTAAATTAAATAACCTAGCAAAGTATCGAAATGTTATGTAAAACGACACAGAGAGTCGGTCAACACACAATTAACGCATTGCCTGGTCGATTACGTATTTCAAAGATTGCTAAGTTAGAATTTAAGTGTGAAAATTCCAAAGAAAGACAAAACATAAAAAAGAGGAACGGAGACACACAGACAGAGCAGATAGTTTTCTGGTTATATTCTATGTCGCTATTTTATTATACCTGATGATGATTGCTTGTGTTGCAATCGAAACGTCGTATGCTATTATTTAATTTATTATTTTATTTTTATACGTGACTTTACCGAAAAAACCAAAGAATAATTCCTGCAGTCACGAAAGCTCCAAAATTAAGATTGAACCACTTCTACGGGGAAGTTCCAAGTTTACCTTTTTCTCTCTCTCTGGGTTTCTTGTTCTCTCTCTCTGCCTGTATATTTAGTGTTATTTTCTCTGTCTACACTCGTTTTGTATCGTTCTTAGGTTCTGCTCTGTCTGTGTGTCTCCGTTCCTCTTTTTTATGTTTTGTCTTTCTTTGGAATTTTCACACTTAAATTCTAACTTAGCAATCTTTGAAATACGTAATCGACCAGGCAATGCGTTAATTGTGTGTTGACCGACTCTCTGTGTCGTTTTACATAACATTTCGATACTTTGCTAGGTTATTTAATTTAGTGTGTTCTGTCTCCCTCTAAGCCTGCTTACCTTACTCCCCTCCCTTCGTACTCATTGACATGTAAATGTTTTCCCTACCCCATCCCTCTCTCTGCCTCCGCCCCCCTCTGTCTATTTAAGGCCACCCCACAGAGACGATCACCTCTCTCTGTACCTGGGTTGCTCTCTCTATGTATCTTGGTGATATCTGTCTGCTTATATGTCTGTCTATAGTTTTCTGGTTATATTCTATGTCGCTATTTTATTATACCTGATGATGATTGCTTGTGTTGCAATCGAAACGTCGTATGCTATTATTTAATTTATTATTTTATTTTTATACGTGACTTTACCGAAAAAACCAAAGAATAATTCCTGCAGTCACGAAAGCTCCTAAATTAAGATCGTCTTCAAATCGTTTCATTAATGTAATAATCCCCGCAGCACTGGTGTCACGTCTACATTTGACTACCCAGCCTCACCCTCTCCACTCCAGGCTTAACAGAACTCCCACTGACATCTGACCCCAGTTTGTCTATTGTCTCATTAATTTGTTTAATTGGTCCAACCGACAGCCTCGTGGCTGCCCGCAGATCACGCCGCACGTCACAGCCACGAGCTGTAGGGGCGGGGCTCCGTCCACTCAGTGGTGCTGTTAACGTTCACATTCAGCAGCACGAGTCGGGAGTCTCATCTCTGCAGTTCCCCGTTGTGGTGCCACCTCCCTATATCATGTAGCCTCTCAATTTCTTCATTTCACGATGATTGTGTTTCACTGCACAAAACGGTACCTACGGCCTTTTTACGATATTTAGTGGGAACGGCCATCTTGGTAAGGGTAATGTAAAGGGCTAGCTGAGCCCGAGAAGCCCCAGTGAAGAGGCACAAACAACCATCTTCATAAGGGAAAACAAGGCCCCTGAGATTTGATAGGACCTGCCATCTTGGATAGGGCAGTGCAAGGGGCCGCCACTCTCAGGGAAATAGGAGCAGCCATCTTGGTAAGGGACAGTGTGACCGTGACGTAGATTGGCGGGAATCGCCATCTTGTAGAGAGACAGGAGACACGGACAGGCTTGGATAGGAGCGATCGTGACAATGATTGGTGCCGCTATGAAAGTTACTCTACTTTTTATCACAGTCAGTACAAGTGCAGGGAGAGTTGCCACTCGTCGAATCGCTGTCGATTCCCGTCACAAATTGATGTTTACCTCAAATATTAGTGTCACCACGTGGCCCGGGGGGGGGTCTGTGTAGGCACGCGGGAAGGCCGCGCGCCCTCCGTGTGTCTGCAGAGACGAGAGACGAGGAACGAGAGACGCGTCGCTCAACAGCGACAGTGTCGCGCCTCGCAGTCGGCTGCTTCTGCCGTTGTCTTCTCTCCACTGCTGGATGAAGGCATCTTCCACCGCTCTCGCCGCTCACGGTCCATCGCTCCCACCGTGCGTCCGTCTCTTGCTGCTCGTCGTCAACTCGTTCCATGGCTCCGTCTCCGCAGTGGAAAGGGCCGCAGTTAAAGTGTCACTTTGTGCGTGCAGCAGGTACGTGAAATAAAGGCCGCTGGGTTGATTACATGTGTTGTGCTTCGAGGTGAGTGCTGGTGGGATGCGGTTAGCGCTTGTACGGGTAGAGTTATTTGGTTAAGGATTTAACACAAATGTAGCATTCTGAGGTAAATCTTGAACATTACAGATTTAAGTTGCAAATGTCAACATTCATAGTAACAGTTATATAGTTGAGGTTCTTCTCTAAGCTTGTAAGTATGACTAGAATCAAAAGTGGATATGATGGGTGAAAATTCTGTATTAAAATTATTATTGAAATACAGCATTTATAGCTGTTAAGTGTATAAAAGCATGTTAAATATGTGATATGGATATTTAAATACTCACAATAACATAGTTCTGTAGCTTACACAATAAAAAAAAATTATTTGCATGTTATAGTTACAAGCAAATATGATAGTGAAATATGCTGTAATGAAAGTTTTGAGGCAATTCATTAATTATTTGTCTTAAGGCTTAAAGCATAATACTGTAATGGTTTAACAATTTTACAATAATTGTATAATATACCATTACGTTTAATACATTAAACCAGATCAGAAAGTAACTTGTTAAACGTTTATTTTATTAAAAGTGACTGCTGTATTAATTTATATAATTACTCGCCACCAATCACAGTGGCGGATATTTGAAGCGGTGCTGGGCGTCTCCTAGGTCGACTCAGCCTTCGAATGTGTGACCCGGTGCGGGGAGCGAATATCAGCACTGGGGAGACACAGAGGGGGTCGGGGGTAGTTTTGGCCACCCACCCCCTCATGTGCCGTCTTTGTCTTCTTCATAGGTGCTCGGGAACAGCACTTGCCCCAATAGTCTGTTAAGTTCATGTCGGGTTCTTTGTATTGGCCCGCAAAAACTCCTATGCGGTCTTCAGTAAGGAAAAAGTTCCCTGCCCACTGCTTTCTTCAACGTTGGTATGTAAAAACAAACTTATTTTAAGAACGACAGGCCCACTGGCCTCATCACACGGATAGAAATTGAAGATCATGAGAACAGAAGAATTGATGAGTTGGAGTACAACAACTTCGTGGACAAGCTGGGTTTATTTACAAAATGTTTCTCTACATTCTTCGAGAAAGGACTGATTATCATATCAAATATCATTATGCGTATCGCCTTTGTAGACTCTGAAAGGGCATTGGCTCAGTTACTATGTATACAGTCTGCGAGTACTGCAATAACTAAATAAATATAATGTCTAGTTTACAGCGCCTGTGTCAGTCCCCTGCTGGATGAAGGCCTCCCCACGCCATGTTGGCGATGGTTGACCATACTTCCCCCACGCTGTTCAGTGTTGGTGAAGGTGAGCAGGGTGGGGGGGGAGAAGGAGGAGTGGGCAGGATCGGTTCTGGTATTACTTTCCACTGTTAACCGTGGCCATAAATCAAACTCCGGTTGCTCAGTTCATAACACAGTACGTTAACCACTGCACCACCGCTCCCCTCGCCAGTGAAGCCAGCCACACTCGTCACGAGAAGAGACGACGACCAGTGGTCGAGACTAACGACGGAGAGACACCCAAAGGGTGTGAACGCGCCCGCGGAGAGGAAATCCAGCGCGGAGATGGAGCGATGAGATCAGTTCACGCGCTGGAGATGACATGGATTGTTCGATTCCCGCTCACGACCACCAACAGCAGGTGACGATTATCTTAACCGGTTGTGGGCCTCCCCTAGGTCGACTCGGCCTCAAATGAGTTCCCGGTGCGGTGTGCAGTAAACACGTGATTGTTGACCACCCGTCCCCTCGTGTGCCCTGCCGGCTTTCATAGGTGCTGCTTTCTCGCTCTAACAGCACTTGCCGCAACAGTCTGTTACAGGCTACACGGAGGATCTTTTCCTTGTCACCAGATTTGTGCGTCTTACTTTCCGGCGCGTCTCATGGGTTTCGGGGAATGTGGCTGTAAGCAACCGTCTCTGTGATTTCTGTGCCTCTGTAGATTCACAAAACTCAGAGGGAGAGTGCCGCCGCGTGTTGCAGTCGGCTCCTGCCATTGTCTCTCCACTGCTGGATGAAGGCATCGTCCACCAGTCGCCCTCGCTCACGGTCCATCGCTCCCACCGTTCGTCCATCTCTTGCACGTGAACTCATTCATCGCTTAGTCTCCACAGGGGTCGTCCTTTACGGTATTGTTTTAGGTTTACATTTTGTGTCTGGGTTGTAATGTACTGGGGCGTGGTGTAAAGTGAGTATTGTATGTGGAGTGTGTCGTGCAGTGTGGTATACAGTGTAGTGTTGTGTATAGTGTAGTGTCTGTAGTTTGTGGTTTATCGTGTAGTGTCCGTAAGTGTGGTGTATAGTGTGCAATAACGTGGATAGTACAGTCTGTGTCATATCTAGTGTAGTGTGAAGTGTCAAGTATGGTATGAAGTGTGTTGTACAGTGTATATTGTGTACTGTGTGTGGTTTATGTGGTATTGCATATAGCGTGTATAATAAATTCCATGTGATGGAAAGTGTAGCCTATGTGGCGTAATGTATAGTGTAGTGTGGCGACAAATACATTTCCTAGGGGTTGAGCCATACTTCATCACGCTGGTGAGTGCCTGGTGGTAGCAGGATCGGTTCAGATATTACGAGCCAGTGATGCTCCCCATAGCTGGCAATTAAATTGAGATTGTTGGCTTCATAGACTCTGTCATGGAGCTCTTGTGGTATTGCAGCCACACACTGTTGGTCATTGTATATTTACGTGCGGAATTAATGCATTCAAATGTAGCGGCTGTAATCGAGCTATTTAGTCCATGGGCCAGAGCTGTAATTGATACAACGTTAGGTAGCATGTTTAGTCACACCTTCGGATAAATACGCCTAATGAGTGTGTTACTTGATAACCGACACCTGCGATTAGCACACTAGGCTACATACGGTGCGAAAGAAAGTCAACATGCATACACCACCACTCATTTCAAATGTTTATCAAATAATTCACTGTTTTTGCCCTCACATTTGGAATTTGCAACCACTGAAGTGATGACATCTCGTGGATTCAGTGGGTATCTGAACTGCATGGCAAAACAGCCATCAAAATTCACTACTTTATTAAACACAGAAATAATGCAGTAGTCATTTCATCAGTTCACGTTGCTGTATGGATGTCCCTTGGCTATTAGATCTGAACATGGCCTTACGAACTACATACAGAATCATACCCAAGAATAGGAATTTGATTCATACTTTTTTATTTTAAAGTACGTATTTTTGTATTCACAAAATTATAAAATGTACACATTTACAATGGTAATAATCTTCTTTGTGGATGTGGTGCTGGCGCTTCTGGGCTGTGTTGTGTCAGCGGTATTCATCAGGACCCGGTGTGCATCGCCCTTGCAGTGGTGGCAGCGGTGGTGGTAGGGGCAGCAACTTGACCACATCCCTCGTGTGATATCATCCATCAGTGATCACGGTTGATCTCCGGGGTCAGGGTCGTCGCTGCTGCCTCTTTATGCCATTTCCCATGGCCGCCGTTGATTTGACTGCACACAGGTATGGCCTTCATCTCTGGGGACCTGCACACAGCACATGGAACGACCGCTACGTGAGTTTCATTGGCCCAAAGGGCAACCTGGTGAACTTCCCGTGAGTTCAACAGAGATCGAGCCTTAGCAGCAAAGGTGGAAGGCAATCTGCCCAACTTAGGTAAAAATGATAATGATAACGGCGTGGGTATGAAGTTTCTTGCTCATGCCACTGCTGGCAGTAAGTCCTCGAGTAGACAAACTCTGGATGATATTTGGTCTGCTCTTCCACATTGACCACACTTGTGGGCATACCCACAAATACAACTCGTGGGTAACTCACCGGACGTAGAAGAGGATGTATGCCTGTTTCTCCATGACCACCCTGGTGTCGACCGGCGTCACCAAGTCGTCGTCCATCCGGAACCATCTCCCATCGCAGATCTGTATGCAAACAACATCGAAGATTAATTACGACGATTATCCAATTGCACCTGAACTATGTATATATTCGTAATATGACACATGAGGAACAGAGGTGACCCTCTTATTCCACCTATTATTGTGTTGTCCTATAAGTTGAGTAATCGAACCGATAATCCATCAAATAATTGGATTACATTTGAAAGTTAAAATCCTGGTTGGGACCTCACTTGGTCCATCATCTATCCAGGGGCAATAAAGTAATTACACATATTTGGTGAAGTTAACAGTGGTTCTATGCATACGCTTTCCCTCAGTCACAGGAATGGGGAATTTTCACCACTGGCTCAGGACTATAAATGGAAGATGAGCACCACCTCATGGCTCAAAGGAGCAGGAATGGTTTAGATTTGTTTCACTGAATCGAATTATTTAAAGGATCGATGCATACGGATGTTTGGCATGTGTTTGTGTGATAATGTAATACATCACCTTGTTGTAACAGTAGTAATGTCCCTCTGTGCTGGATTTCCCAGAGTGCACAAGGACCGAGTATAACCTGTACACTACAGGGTCTGCGTCCCTCCTGCTGTGACATGAATGGCCGCACGTCCTAGGTGCTGTGGGTACGGGCAATCCTGCAGTGGTGAAGGAGGAAGCAGTGATGCAGAAAGAGAGATGGTGTTAGGTGGGAAAGAGGAGAAGAATGATGCAGGGTCGAGTTCTTTATTATAATTTTTGTGCTACTATATTTTTTACTTTACCAGGTAATGCTTGCCGACTGAGCTATATTGCTCTTTCTCCGAATCGATCTAGCCACAAATGATATCTCAACGAAGTGGCTTATCACGTGAATAGTTATAGCAGCCAAATACTCTAGAAGTAACTGGTGGACCCGGAGAAAAACCCACGTGAACACGGGGAGAACATGCAAACTCCAAATATAAAGGCATTAGGATCGGGATCGAACCCACGACCTCCTATACACTAGTGGAGGTAGTTAAGATTTCGCTACCATAGAGCCCATTTTAGGTAGATTAACCAAGTGGGAGCTCGAGAGACCATTAAAAAATAAAAACATGTGCACGAGTGATCTAGGTTACTACCGTGGCAAAAAAAATAACGCGAGAGAAATCACAGAAATTACCCAAAAAGGAAGTAGCACAAAAACAAGCAATGATAATTGGAGAAAATGCGGCCACGTTTTAGAAGAAATGTAAAACAAACATATTAACCAAACATTACCCGATTGATCTTGTTTCCAAACAGGTCATATCTCTTGATGGAGAGGGCCAAGACGTTCGGGAGATGGTGAAGGCTCATCCTCTTCGTGGCCTTCACCTTGCAACAGCACCTGGGCACCAAAAAGCAGCAGCGTCAGTTTAAGGACCGAGATGCCCAGTGCAAAACTGTACAAATATGTTGGCGTTAGAAAGTAGACAGACTCGCGTGACATTGATGTCGTGCCATACTCACCTTTGGCAAGTGTATTCATCCAGTGTCTCTGTCTTGGTGAAATCTGCAAAAGCTGCCAGCAGATCTGGCGAATTCTGTCAAATAGAACGACGTGAAGGCAAATGAGTGCTTGAAAAGAACACTGGGAACAACTTTTGCAGCTGTTAGAACAGTGAGTCCTTATGTTGTACTGGCCGTGGTGTGACATGAGAGGGCAGTGTCCTTAGGTGACAGGAATTAAGGACGTGCTCCCAATTTTCAGATTCATCTGATGTACAGTATTCCAGTCGATCGGCAAACTTAATGTGTTTGAGTGACGCTACTTGTGTAATGTACACGATCCGAAAAAGATCAAAAGTGTTGCTTGAAAACGAGAAAATAATTAAATCCGAAACTCATCACGAGTAAAGATACCATTTAAGTAAATCAAGAATTCCTCGATTCTTACGTTGATGTGAAGACTGATGTCCAGGCAGTTTTCGAATGTGTCCGAGGTGCAGGAGCACTGTGTGCACTCCACTGTGGAACACAAGTGAACGCACGCGCACACATCCACACGTGCAATTAGAGGAGGTTGGCATCAAATACAATGAAGTTATATGTTCCCTAGTCAAACTCACAATCATTCCCCAGACATCACCCACTCAGATAAAACCACGTGTGATATTGACTCACATTCTAAGTAATTTCCTGCTCATCTGCTCTCTATAAATCTGAGGAAGTGGTAGAATGTCCTCTTTCATATGGCAAGGGGGAGTCTGTTAATAGGACCCCAGATTGATGATGTGGCGAGTCAACCCCCAATCTGGATTTAAGCTTACAATGGCGAGTTGCTGGCTCTCCCACTGAGCCATGTGGTAATTTCAAGTTTTTGCTGTAAAATAATTACGTGCACGCATGCAAGTCGATGTTAAGTTGTAATACTTGTGTTTGTATCTGATCAAATGGGTTGTTGTGTCTGTGTGCTTGTGCATTTTTTTTTATTGGGCGGGGAGTGTAAATATAGCGGTTGGCGCACTGGCGAACTGAGTTCGATCCTCGCTCACGGCCACAACATCTGAACCTCGGCTTCTCCCAGGTCGATTCAGCCTGAAATGAGTGTCTGGTGCATTGTGTAACTTCAGCACTGGTGCTAGCCACCGAAGGTGGCCTGGCATGGTGCAAGCCACACCACCTTATCATGTGCCTTGTTGGCCTACATAGGTACTCGCTAATAGCAATTGCTTTATTATTCTGTTAAGGCTTCAGGGAGATCTTTGTATTTGCGTGTTTTGCTTATGTCATGCTGTGTACGTGCGTAAGAGTGCAGAGTTCATCTGCACTGTGCAGCATGCGTCGTCATACTCGGTGTGATCGCTACTTGCAGCAATGATTTTGCACATGGAGCTGGCACACACCTGTCGATCTCAGCTGCCCTGTGAAGATCTGGTGAATCACCGAGGTCTTCTCCATATGTTCTTCCAGCCTGCACGTGGAAATGAATGACATCACACATTCGGTGGCTTACAGATGCATCATCTTTACCAAGTGCGCACATGGGAGAGTTACTCCTTTTTGTTTCAACCCTACGTCACCTTGCAGTCAAACGCTTATTTAAAGAATATTCTGTAAACTTTGTTGTCAATTTTTGGTAACAGGTTGGGAACCAGTGGCCAAGGACGTGCACTACTTACTTGTCGTGGTTGATTGGGCAGGAGAGGTGCAGAGCTTCTATGATGTAGCAGAAGAACTCATGCACGTCCTCCTGTTTGCCAAACTGCAGGTGTTTGACGATCCCTGTGGGTAAATGGATGGAGGTCAGAAGCGATTTGAACGCAAGGTTACTAAACGTTTTACCAATGCCCCACCCATTGAGAATAGGTTCTAAATTTAATGTGCACAATTGTGTTGTACTGAACGGAGCTCACGTTTGAGGTTTTGGACGATTTCCAAGGGCTTGATGACCTTGCCCTTGGAGCTGAATGTTGCAATGGTGTGCCTCTCCATTATGCACATCATGCAACATCCATTATCTGTACCTGTGAAGTGCGGCAGAGGTGGCATATGCTGTCAGTACAACACCAATCAAAGCTCAGCTGTAGGTGCAGCACACAGCAAGGACATCTTCGCGTAACAATTATTTTCAGCTTGTTGATATTTCAAAGTGTTCTGGGAACTCACATCTTCCTGAGTGGTGCCTGGAGATCAGGTAGTTTGCCAGTGGTGCGGTGTAAGTGAGGCACTGCAGGGTGGCATTGAGGAAACAGGTGTTCCCCATGTTGTCAAGGCCAGCACCCTCGCATGCGTTCCACTGCCACGTCAGGCTCAGGTTTTCCCCCGATTCTGGCGCGAGTCGTGGAGCTCCATTATAGATCTTGTCTGCGCACAAAACATCCAGGAATTTTTGTGTTTACACTCGAGGCACTCTGGAGACTGGCTCGAAAGTTGTGTGGTAAAGCCAGAACTTGTGATATCATTGTATTAGCGGTGCTCTTCATTAACCCTTTCACAACCATGTTTTTTTCAACTCTAGGTGACTCTACAGTGAGCTGTTTTTTGACGTAATTTCTGTTAACGTGGACAGGGTAACAATATTCAATGGGTAGGGGATAAACCTGGTCCTTGTCCAATATTTTCATTTTGCCACTAAATGAATGGTTATCGAAGGACATTGATGGATCCTGGATATCACTTTGATTTTCCTCCGTAAATGTTGTCTCATGGCTTCGTTTCACGTTTACCATCCCGATTATACAACATACATTGTCCAAAAATCTGACATTTTATCTGGAACTCATACCTACTACAGAGTTGCTTATGACATTGCAGTTGCACTACATTGACGTGTTTTTGTCCACTGTTTCTGAATGCAGTCGCAAATGCCCAAACGTCAATTACCCAGCAGTGAAGTTATAGTAGATAAGAGTTAACACCTTTTTGGGATTAAGCAAGGTTATGAGAACTTGGGAGAAGAGACCATTAGAGGGAATTCCAAAGTCAAGCTAGTGTTTAAAGAGTCAGTTTGGTACAAGCTTACCTTCCATGGCAATCTGATCTGGAACAGGAGGAGCAGCTAGCTTCTGGGAGGTGGGCCTGATGATGGCAGACGCTGTCGATGGAATGGCGTCCTTCTGGCTGTGATCCGGCATGCTCCTAAGAGCGGTATGCTGGCTGCCCCTCCTTCGGGCAGCTCGGCCACCCCGGCGTCTTGGTCTCCTCGCTTGACCGGCTGCCTGGCCGAACCCGCAATTTGCGGCCTCGCCTTGCCCGTGACCAGCAGCCTGACCACTTCTGCAACCTGGACTGCCCTGGTGGCTTGTAGCCTGGCAGCCCTTGCATCCAGCAGCCTTGTTGCTAGCTGCACGAATATCTCCGTGGCTTGCCACTCGACTCGCTTTGTCCCCTTCAGCTGGGCCCGGCTCCCGATCTACCACCGGGCTTGGCCCATGATCTGCCACCCGGTTTGCACCGCTGTCCGCTATTGGGTTGGGCCCATGGCTACTCATCTGACTTGCCTCTTGGCTAGCCACCAGGCTCATCTCATTGTTAGCCACGAGGCTAGCCTCAGGGCTAGCCACCAGGCTCGCCTCACAGCTTGTGGCTGGGCTCGTCTTTTGGTCAGCCTCCAGGCTCATGTCACGGCTAGCCACGAAGCTAATCTCACAATTATCTGCTGGGTCAACCTTGTGGCTTGCTTCCAGGCCCATCTCATCGTTATCTGCGCACAAAATATACAGGAAATTTTATGTTAACACACAAGGCACTTTGAGACTGGCTCGAAAGTTACGTGGTAAAGCCAGGACTTGTGATAGCATTGTTTTAGCGGTGCTCTTTATTAACCCTTTCACAACCGTGTATTTTTCAACTCTCGGTGACGCTACAGTGATCTGTTTTTTGACGTAATTTCTGTTAACGTGGTCAGGGTAACATTCAACGGATAGGGCATAAACCTGGTCCTTGTCCAATATTTTCATTTTGCCACTAAATGAACGGTTATCGAAGGGCATTGATGGATCCTGGATATCACGTTGATTTTCCTCTAAAAATGGTGTCTCATGGCTTCGTGTCACTTTTACCATACCGATTATACATAAGTATATAACAACGTACATTGTGCAAAAATCTGACAAGCAAACTTTTCATCTCGAACTCATCTCTACTACAGAGTTGCTTATGACATTGCAGTTGCACTACATTGACGTGTCTTTGTCCACTATTTCTGAACGCAGCCCCAAATGCCCAAACGTTAATTACCCAGCAGTGAAGTTATAGTAGATAAGAGTTAACACCTTTTTGAGATTAAGCAAGGTTATGAGAACTTGGGGGAAGAGACCATTAGAATTTCAAAGTCAAGCTAGTGGTTACAGAGTCACTTTGGTACAAGCTTACCTTCCACGGCAATCTTATCTGGCACAGACGGGGCAGCCGGCTTCTGGGAGGTGGGCCTGATGATGTCAGAGGCTGTCACTGGAATGGCGTCCTTCTGTCTGTGATCCGGCATGCTCCCAAGAGCGGTATGCTGGCTGCCCCTCCTTCGGGCAGCTTGGCGACCCCGGCGTCTTGGTCTCCTCACTTGACCGGCTGCCTGGCCGAACCCGCAGTTTGCTGCCTCGCCTTGCCCGTGACCAGCAGCCTGACCACTCCTGCAACCTGGACTGCCCTGGTGGCTTGTAGTCTGGCAGCCCTTGCATTCAGCAGCCTTGTTGCTAGCAGCACGAATATCTTCATGGCTTGCCACTGGACTCGCTTTGTCCCTTTCAGCTTGGCTCGGCTCCCGATCTACCACCAGGCTTGGCCCATGGTCTGCCACCCGGTTTGCACCGCTGTCTGCTATCCGGTTGGGCCCATGGCTTCTCATCTCACTTTCCTCTTGGTTAGTCTCCAGGCTCATCTCATTGCTAGCCTCAGGGCTAGCCACCAGGCTCGCCTCACAGCTTGTGGCTGGGCTCATCTTTTGATCAGGCTCCAGGCTCATGTCACAGCTAGCCACGAAGCTAATCTCACAATTGTCTGCTGGGTCCACCTTGTGGCTTGCTTCCAGGCCCATCTCATGGTTATCTGCACACAAAACATCCAGGAAATGTTCTGTTTACACTCGAGGCACTCTGGAGACTGGCTTGAAAGTTGTATGGTAAAGCCAGAACTTGTGATAGCATAGTTTTAGCGGTGCTCTTTATTAACCCTTTCACAACCATGTTTTTTTCGACTCTAGGTGACCCTACAGTGAGCTGTTTTTGACAATATCTGTTAACGTGGTGAGAGTAGCAATATTCAATGGATAGGGCGTAAACCTGGTCCTTAACCAATATTTGTATTGTGCCACTAAATGAACGGTTATCAAAGGGCATTGATGGATCCTGGATATCACGTTGATTTTCCTCCATAAATGGTGTCTCATGGCTTTGTGTCACTTTTACCATCCCTATTATATGTAAGTATATAACAACGTACATTGTCCAAAAGTCTGACAAACACTTTATCTGCAACTCATCCCTACTACAGGTGTTGCTTATGACATTACAGTTGCACTACATTTACGTGTTTTGTCCACTGTTTCTGAACGCAGTCCCAAATGCTCAAAACGTCAATTACCCAGCAGTGAAGTTTTGGGATTAAGCAAGGTTATGAGAACTTGGGAGAAGAGACCATTAGAGGGAATTCCAAAGTCAAACTAGTGGTTACAGAGTCACTTTGGTACAAGCTTACCTTCAACGGCAATCTCACAATTATCTGCTGGGTCCACCTTGTGGCTTGCTTCCAGGTCCATCTCATGGTTCTCTACCGGGCTTGCCTCATGACTTGCCACCTCTATTCTTTCTTGGCTAGCTACCAGGCTCATCTCACGGTTATCCACTGCGTCCACCTCGTGGCTTGTCTCCAGGCCCATCTCATTGGTAGCCACTGGGCTCGCCTCAAGACTTGCCACCTCGGTCTTCTCATGGCTAGACACTGGGCTCGTCTCATGACTTGCTGCAGAGCTCGGAACACAGCTGCCTGGCTCATAAACCTCATCATCTGAAACACTGCGGAAGCAACAGAAGATGTTCTTGAAACGCTTAATGAAGCCCTTTTTCTTGGCCTTCGGCATTGTGGCGATGTGGTTGCAAAGTATAAAAATGCGTCCAAAAACGTGTCCTCAAGATGATGATGGCTGGATTTTATTTGTTGAAAATTTTGCAACAAAAAACCCAGAGAGCAAGGATAGAACACGTCTGACCCTCACGGTGCCAGATTAGCAACTGAGTTTGTGGGGGGAAGTGACATCACAGTGATGTCACAGTGCACTGGAGTCACATGGTGGCCTATGTAATGGTGACGTCACAGTGATGTCACAGTGCACTGGAGTCACATGGTGGCCTATGTAATGGTGACGTCACAGTGATGTCACAGTGCACTGAGGTCACATGGTGCCCCGTGGGAATTGCCTGTGCAACAAGCACCCTCAATACACTTTATGTATCTGTAACTGAACGAATGATAATGATGAATGGTTTTTAAAAGTAATTTATCTCAACCTAACTTTCGTTGCAGAAAATGTATTTTAGTTTATATTCCATGATTGTGCCCTTTTCCATGCTTTGTCTCACGATATATTCAATCGAGATTGTTGTACGTTATGTTCTTGTATTTGTCGTTTTGGTGACTCAAGTTACTCTTGAAAATGACACCATCCTTGTCTCTAAGCAAAATAAATTAAAACCGTCTTCAAATCATTCTTTGGTTTTTTCGGTAAAGTCACGTATAAAAATAAATAATAAATTAAATAATAGCATACGACGTTTCGATTGCAACACAAGCAATCATCATCAGGTATAATAAAATAGCGACATAGAATATAACCAGAAAACTATAGACAGACATATAAGCAGACAGATATCACCAAGATACATAGAGAGAGCAACCCAGGTACAGAGAGAGTTGATCGTCTCTGTGGGGTGGCCTTAAATAGACAGAGGGGGCGGAGGCAGAGAGAGGAAGGGGGTAGGGAAAACATTTACATGTCAATGAGTACGAAGGGAGGG